AATAAAAAATAAAGGTTGTACATATTTGGTAAAATATGTTTTAGAAGGCATTGATATAATAATATACATATTTAGATAAGTTTCAATGCCATAGTGTGGCCGATAGAACATTGTTGGCAGCAATGTTCCTGCCGCTACCGAATGCAGAAGATACTGCCGTCATGTCAGCTGTTCACTGATCCTTCATTCTTTCTACCCCAAGCTAGGCTTAAGTAGAGATAAATTAGGAGGTATTAATATAATAATATACATATTTAGATAAATATGAGTTTGAATGTTACATTTGGCAAAAAATTAAGGGTTTAAATATTTGGTAAAATATGTTTTACTTCAAATTTAAATAGAAAATACGTTTTAAAAGGCAAAAATATAATAATATACATATTCAGATAAATATGAGTTTGTATTTATTCCTGACAAACTTGTGAAATGCAATAATAATTATAAGTCTATCATTATGAAAGGGAATTTCCCGGTGATAATATATTTAGTCTGGAAGTAGGAAATGTCTCCTCATTTGGCAGCTCAAGGGTGACAGTGCAATTGTTCATGTGCTGCTTGATACTTAAAATGTAAATAAAAAATACGCCTTGAAAGACATTACTCAATAAAGTTAAGTTACATAAATAGATATAATTCCGAATGTTATATTTGCCACACAAAATTCAAGCCAAACGTAATCTTGACTTAAATATGTAGGTACATAAAGGGTGTCTCACAAATATTTTCGGTTGTGGATCAGTCTTCTGAGGCAGTAGGCATGTTCCGTAGAAACGAGATAGTTGCCAAACGTTTGACAACATTGTTTTAGTTGTAATGGAGCGTTGCACAGTGCTTTTTATGTTCATGCGTTTTATAAAAACAATTATTCTTATGTTCTTGTGCGTCGTTTGTACAGAAATCATTATAATATGTAGCAACTATGGATGTTTTGTTTGAATGTACAGAGCTTCACATCACATGTTGAAGAAATAAGTGAACTGATTAGTCAAGCAAACATAGAAGTATTTCTGGCAACTGAAGCCAGGGTGACTTCAGACATAGAGGACCAAGAGATTTCTATTATTGGTTATAACATTGTACCATGTGACTCAGAGAATAGGTTCACGATAATTCCCATCGTTTTATGGCGAACCCAGATGTCAGAGAACTGATACTAAACTTATATTCGAAGCATGTGTGTGGGCTAAAACAATGATTACGGGAACCAGATTTTCCAAGATACAATAACACAAAATTGTATAGTAATAGGAAAATCAAGGGTGAAATGAAAACTGTAGGAATTAAATGTTATTAACAAACAAGATAAGAAAGGAGATAGTTAACTACCCAATTATTTTAGGCATAATTAGTATTTAAGTATAGAATAATTTAATTCATTTCACACCGTTGATTAGGCTAAGTAATTAGGTTTATTACTCAGTTACATTAGTGATTAAGAAACTGTTTGTTTCATTTAACTAGGTTAATAGAAGGCATATACGAAAGAAAGATTTTCCAATTAAAGGAAAAACGGTAATTTTCAGTTATTAAAATTATATTCTCCATATGACTAGCGAACTCTATTGGAAGGCTTTCAAACTATGTCACTAAGGGTGTACATAGGGTGAACAATACGAGAACCAATAAGGAAAGAGCAATAAGGAATATTGAGAGGGCTAGGTACTAACAACTAGCCAATGAGCTGCTAAGAGCAGTACCCTCAAGAAATAGGGGTTGGTTCTCTCTCGCTTATTTAAGCGAGAGTTGATGCAGTTATCGTCGGAAATTGTTAGAATAAAACAAAAACTTAACGAGTTAGTGTTTGTCACAGTTGTCGCTCGATCCGTTCTTCTCCTAAGTTCATCTACCACTCAGTGATTAGTGGAAAAGCTCTCCAAAGAAGGTGATGGTTTATTTCAGTTCAATTTCTTTTAAAATCTATTTTTTTAGTCTAAACCTTTAATTAGAAATCAAACATTGTCTTCATTATTTTTTTAAAAAAAGGAGTTTTCATTTTTGGTGTCATAAATTGCTCTAATCACTGGTAGTGCCGGTTTGTGCAATTGTAGAGGGGAGTTAGCAACTTTGGCAATAAAAGGGTAAGTCATCTTGAATCTATAACTCTTTGCACTAACCATAACCGAAGAAGAGAGAAGAAGTGAGGTTTTTGTTTGGATTGCCTCCGGTTCGGAAAATTTGGTATTTAGGATCCTTTTCAGATTAAATTTAATTTTCAGCATAATTATGGTACCCACGTAAACTAAGATGTGACAGAATTATTCACGCTACCAAAATATTTATTCTTCTCAAGATCTCAATTTTGTCACATTATTAGCTGTAAAAATTAGAAGTATCAAAAATATCCATAAAGACCAACTACAAGATGACTCCGTAAACGTGTTACTAGGAAATTTCAACAAAAATATTTTGGAAGTATTGGATAAGTACTGTAGCGCCAATCCAGATCTCAAAAAAATCTCCTTTGAAGAATGGTTTGATCAAGAAATAAAACGTTCAATAAAACACGTGACACCCTGTATAACAGAGCTAGATTGCAAAACAATGAAGAAAACTGGAAAAAGTACCGAGAAAGCCGTAACTTGGTGACTGCACTAATAAGAAAAAAGAAGCAAAAATACCATAAAGCATCATCGATCAGAATAGAGGAGACAATAAGATGTGGAAAGGGATAAAAGAAGTAATAGGCAAAAATAAGAAAGCATATTTTAATGGTGAAATGATAATAAATAAGCAGGATATTGTTGAAAGTTCCAACAGATTCTTTATACAGAGTATTGAAAACATAGTCAATGACTCAATTGGCTATGAAATAACCCCAGAATATAAAAAAAATTGGAAAGATGGAAGTGAAGAAAGAACTAAAGGCTTTTCCATTAATATCTGAAATGGAGACTGTAAAAGCGTTAACAAAAAATTGTATCAATCTAGTCGAGTCGGTCAAGTGTTTTATGTCGTCCGTGTTTCTTATAGTAAAAAGTCTATAAACTGTGTAATTGTAATTGCATGTTTCATCAAGCCACTCGAGCAAATGTAGCAATACGTAATATAAGCGAATATTTTTGAGACATCCTTTATTTATAATGCAGGTTTTACACACATATTATTTTGAATGTGATACTTGCGATTAAAAAATATGTGGGTAGGATGATTACACTACTCATGAGTAATTAATAACCATCATAACACGCTCGTTGAATAATATAGTATTTTCCCATTATATTTAGGAAATTAGAATTTTAAATATGATACTTGAAATTTAAATAGAAAATATGTCTTAGAAGGCATTATCCCAATAACATACATATTTAGATACATGTGATTTTGAATTTAACATTTGTCATATTTGGTCAAATATGATTTTAGATGCCACTTCATTTGGCACCTCAAAAGGGTGACAGTGCAATTGTTCATCTGTTGCTTGATATTTGAAATCAAAATAAAAAATACGCCTTAAAAGGCATTAATATAATAACATTAATAACATACATATTTAGATAAATATGAGTTTGAATGTTACATTTGTCATTGAAAAAAGAAAGGCTTCACATATTTGATGAAATATAGTATATATAAACTTTTCATTCAAATAGAGACTCCTTTTGGAGCCCTGACATATAATATATATTCAAAAAAATATAATTTTGAATTTTTTACAGATAACGTCCTTAGTGTTTAAGATAAAGTAGAGATAATGGGTTTGGGACTTTAGAGAAAACTCACTCTCTTAAAAAATTATGCTGACGTTTCGATCATTTTTTATTTCTAAAGTCCTAAACCCATTATCTCCACTCTATAACTTTGAATGTGATATTTGCAAAGTAAAATTTGAGCAAATGTAAGCTCGACTTACATTATTTAAGTCCATTTGCACCTCTACAACTTAAGGGATAATTAACTCAAGTGGAGCTTTGAGTATGACTCTTGTAGAAACAGAAGTCACATTCAAAGCTCGACTTAGATTAAATATCCTGTAAGTAATAGCCGTGCAAATGGCCATTAATGGTACACCTAAGTGTACCATTAAGGCTGGTATTTCAATGTCACCTTAAGGTACAGAGTAACCTTAAGTCTTAAGTTATCCTTAATACAAGATTCACCCTATATCAAAGTTCCCTTAATTCAAGGTAGATCTTAAGCCACCTTAATGAACTGATTTCAAGTTCACTTTAACGTTAACGTCTTGAGCAACATTAAAGTACCCGCCCTTAATCTATACTGACATTTTAAAAATTGTCCATATTTGTATAAACTGTAATATTTTATTATTTCAGTCTAGTTGTTTATTTTTTTTTTTTTAATCTTGTATAAACGATTAGATTTCATAGATGATTATTATTGGACATTGCATTTATGACGATTGTAGAGTTTCAATATTATTGGCATAAATAAAACTTTACTTTAACATTATACATCTAACTCTTACAAAGAGTTTGATTAAAATAACTCCAAAAATTGTAAAATTTGTAAGCAGCTCATTAATATATGTTTACTGGAAGAGCTACATTTATCAAATGCCATCACAAGATATCATTTTCAGCATTTTTTCTTATAAAAACATACATACAAATTTTGTAAATACAAACAAAAATATGATATAAAAATTGCAAAGCGTATTTACAGAAACGTCCCGATTCTATTTCGGAAACAATGATATAATAAAAAAAAATTAAACATAATAAAGGTGGCAATTAACAAAACGAAAATAAAAAAAATAATATTGGAATACCTTCAATCCAAATAAATAGAAAATTCAAATTTTTTAAAAAAAAAGTGATTCAGTTTCAATACAAAAGCCTTTGGCAATATTTTCAGTAGGTTGAAAACTGGAGGAAACACTTTTGAATCACTCAATTTCAAAAACAGTATAAACCATAAACCTATAATTGCCATTTTTCTTTTTGTAAAAAAATATATCTATCTTATTAAAGGAAAATATGTACAAATAAATTGTTCAAACGAGAACATTTTTGTCAAATTTAAAAACTAATAAAATGTACTCATCTTTCCCAATCCTCTTCCGCTGGTATGTCAAAGTCATAATCAGAATCATCCATATCTGAGCCAACATCAAAATAGGGTGTGTCAATAACTTTATCGTCTTCTTCTGAACTAGAATCGCTTAAATTCAACTGCAATGGCACTCGCTTCTTCTCTTCATCATCATTCAAATTCAAAGCTGAAATATCATAGCAAATTTTCCTAACTTTTTCTTTCGTATAAAGCAGCCTAGGCCATGAGGATGCAATCTGTTTTTTCAGCAAAACACGTATTTGTGAGCCTGAGATTGTGTGTTGAATTGTGCGTTCGACTTTGGCAAACAACAATAGGTTTAGAGAGTATTTTTGGTCATTTTTGTGGGTGCTAAAATATAAAAAAAAAATTGATAATTATTTTTAATTCAATAATGACAAACACATACATAAAATGGAATTGCCTGTTGTGTTTTATTGCAAATTTAGCATCAACAACATCGTATAATTTTATAATCAATTTAACGTGGGTATCAGTCTCGGACCAACAAACTTCAGGAGTGAGATAATCCACGACAGGTGCTGTTTTCATTGGTGTCAAGTTCGTGTTAGATGAGTTTTTATCCTCAATTGCTTTGTTTTTATTTGGTTTAATTGCAAAATCGATGGTGTCCAGAAAGCCGTCAAAATCTATTACTTCGAAATCAAAGGCTTCAAAGTCGATTTGTTCACGTTCTAAAAAAAAACACAAAATCTCTCAGTTTGAGAAAAATCCTAGAGATAAATATTGTAGTTAAATATGATTCTTACCTATAAGTTCCTTAATATTATCATCCTCACGTATAATTTTCTCTATATTTTCATCATCATCATCATCATCATCATCATCATCATCATCATCAACATCAACTTTTTCAGGCAATTCAAATATTTTAATTTCTTCTTCATCATTGGGTATAGCCAATCCGCAGTTGATTAATAAATCGTTTACAAGTTTTGGTGCACCATCACCGTTTACTGTAGCCAATGTCACCTTATAAGATTTTTGTTTTTGAACAAAAGGATTTTCTTGCTTGGAATTTACTTTTAGGGCAAGTTTTCTTAGAGTGGTTTGATCTAGAAGATTAAAAATATTATTACGAAACTGCATCGAGAATCCAGTTGTGTAAGTCTAACCCTAGCGCGATTTTTCTGGAAATTCCACTGAATCTTTAAATAAGGCCAACATGTTACGGCTTTGAATGAGGTGCGTTTTTAAGAATTCTATTTTATTCGAGTGAGCCCAGAATACAATGTTGTCTATAGAAATTGCATAGTTTGTCAGTTTGTAGTCAGTTTAATAAATAAGAATTTGCTTGTGTGGGTTTTAAATTAGTGATAACTGATCAGAACTATTTTATAGATAATTTGTTCAGTAAAAGTTGTTAATGCGACCTCTCGAGGCAGAGGTCGCCCCAGTAGAAACATCATTCATAGTACATTGGGGTTAAGTTTTGCGGTTTCACTTAACAAAAATACGACTCTGTATTTGATGTATTAGATAAAGGCTTGATGGGACTACTTGCCCTTGTTAATAGCGGAGAGATAGCGCAGGAAACGAGCGGGGAAAATTCACACCCGATAAGAAGGTAAAACACTTCACCACACAAGCACGATTAGGGCGGTTTAAAACCTGACAGCTGAACAGTAGCTCAGAAAAAAAATACACTAGCGTAAGTATCAACTAACGTAGAGTGGCAGTTCAGAGTCGATCGAAATTTCACAATGTACTGTCGATCCCGATATGCGGGCCCCTCCACCCAATGACCTATTATCACAGATAGACGGATTTATAAACAAAAATATGTGTTGACAACATCTCCGATTCTTTCTATCCTGACCAAAGTCCCCCACTACTAAAATGCCACATTTAGTCGTAGGAATATTTATTTTCTCTTTCTAACGCAGGTATAAAGTCCTGGCTTTCAATTACACTTGGCAACACAGCACTAGACTAAACTCGGCCTCTTGCTTCTCGTAGTAATACGTTCCGTTCTCGCCCAGAGTGTCTTGTTCTCTCTATTTTATGCGATGATAATTAGTATAATATTAAAAAAAGACCGATACATAAGATATGTTCGTGTTAGTCTGGAATAGTTTTCGAATATCATCGTTTTGGTTTTGGGGCGGGATCAATTGGGTCTGGTCCATGGCAGGGAACAGCTATTGAGGCCGGACTTAGATCGGGCGACTTATCCCCACCATGGACCGCCCGCACCCCAAATCCCCCCTGGCCCATAAACATGTTGTCAACACAACAAATAGTATTTTATGAATGGAATGCTCTGTCTATCTGTGATAATAGGTCATTGCCTCCACCAGGTAGAATCTTTGCCTCGGTTGCTTATTGTTATGTTGGAAATTCCGAACTCTAAAATCAACATTCTTGATGGTCTTGGTGGGACCAATGCTTGGTCAACGAGTTGACTGTAATCTACCTGGCTGGAATCTTTATGACCTTTTGGGTCGATTTGATGGAAATAGGTATGTAGAAAACAGGCAGGTTTTTAAATTCACATTAGAAACAATGAAAGAAAAGGCTTTATTTTAACAAAGTTCAAGATTGGCTGTGATACGTTTTAGATAGTGATTATTGTTGAGAGTTGTGAAGAGATCGAAAGAATACCTGGATTAACAACTCTATCGGGCTCCAAAGGATTTTCCACATTGGATCTTAAGAGTGGATACTGGCAAGTGGCAATACACAAAGATAACAAAGAGAAAACTCCCTTTAGCACGTAACGCCTTTCGGATTGTGTAATGCTCCGGCTACGTTTGAGCGACTGATTCATCTAGTTTTGCGAGGCCCCAGCTAGCAAAGTAGTTCTATAAATTTAGAGTTATAGAACTTTTATATTCTGTTAAGGTTTTATAGTCGTATCTAAAACATTGAATTGTTGCATTAATGTAGCACATAAGCCTATTTTGCCTTCAGGAACCGAATTGTTATTTAAATTTATTGCAAGAACGTTCTCAGAACATAATTATAGAGCATTTATAAGATAAGTGCCGATATTGTTGTATAAGTGTGCACGATAACACAATTTTACAGCAACAGTGCTTATAGAATCAAATTACTGTGAAACCAATGCAAAATGGTGCCTTGTACAATCCCATGTGGAACTCTTATAAAATTATTCCGTAAAGTCGCTTATATAGTTTTTTTTATAGAACTATTGGGTAAGGGGTTGCTAAGTGACAATTCTGCTGCAGAGATTAAATTATAAATATGGAAACTGCTATCGAACTTAAGGGAAAAGGCTCTTCAAAGCTGTTATGGAGAATAATAATACAGTAAAAATAGAATTATAATAGAGTAAATGATGAGCCTTTTTGCTCAATGAAAAACTGTATAGAACTACCACAACTTCATTGATGACGCTATATTATGTTTGAAGAAGTTTTCTTGGTACACAAGTTTCGGCCAACATCTTGGTAAAAAATGTCATTAAATAAATGGTGAAAAGTTAAAAAAAGTGGGGCTTTTCGGAGGAGAATCAAGAAAATTTTCGAAAACCTTTTAAGCGATAGTATTTGCGTAAATAACAACACTGCTAGAATATAAATGATGTCCAGGAGGCGACAGCATTACAAATAGATAGTGCCGTAGTGAGCGAGGAAGAGAAAAATAAAATAGTATTCGACACAGAAAAGCAAGATGACGAAGATCTAATAAAAAATAAAACGAAATAGCTAGTAGAGCTTCAAAATAATAACGAAGAGAATTTCATATATTATAATATTAATTCTCTTAAATTGAACTTATCTAAAACAAAATTTATGTTAATAGGTGGTAGAACAGATAAAGAATCAATTACACAAAATAATCTTCATGTTAAAATCAGTAGTCATATTATTGAAAGAGTAGAGACACATAAATATCTTGGATTTGTTGTTGACTCCTCACTTACATTTAGGGATCACATTTTGTATACAATCGAAAGAATTACGAAAGGTATAAATTTTCTGTCTAGATTCACATCTTTTTTGTCACAGTGGACTAAGCTTACTATCTATAATACTTTGATCTTACCACATTATATCTTTAGTTCCTCGATCCTGTACCTGTGTAACAAAAATGATCAGAACAGGTTGCAAAAATTGCAAAATAGGGCAATGAGAATTATTTTACGTGAAAGGCGTGAAACGCCTATAAAATAGTTATTTATGATATAAGTGTATAAAGTACATTTTTAAGGCACGCATGTGAAAGTTTGCAGAATGAGCGAAGCGAATTCTGCAATTCACATAAGTGCCTTAAAAATACTTTTAACACAAATATCATACAATATTTTTTCTACAAACGGCAATAAAAAGCAATAACCAGTCACAAATTGGATTTTCAAATGAAATTGGAAGCATCTTTCCTACATAAAATTCTTGAAATTGACATTTGTCAAAAAATCCATACAACCAGCACCTTGTTTTACAGGTAACGAAATGTCTTGTCAGTTTCTTGAAAGTCTGTCGTGGTCAGGAATGCTTTTTGCTAAAAATGCAACAAAATACAGAAGAAAAAGAGGGTTGCATCGATCCTTCGAAAAATATAGATGAGGCGGCCAATCGGGCTACCTCAGTTGTTCAAATTTCACCATTAATATCAATGTAAATAACTGAAAATACAAACTTTTTTTGACGTCCGCTCTCAAAATTTGATGTTTCACTTTTAACACTAGTGCTATAAAGACTTTATGGCACTAGTGCGATAAAGTAACATTTTTAATGCTTCGGGGCGGTGTTAAAAAGTGCCTTTTTAACACGTTTGTAGAAAAAATATGTTAGGAAAACTAAATTGGCTTTCTGTTGAAAAATTTCTTATTTACCAAAATATGTTGTTAATTTATAAAATGAAAAATGAGCTAACACCTACATATTTGACTGAAAAATTAAGAAGTCATTCTTCTGTACATTCGTACCCTACTAGGAATCGTAACAATTTTTATGTTACAACAAAAAATAAAAAAGGAACTGAAAATGGTTTATACCATAAGGGTTTAATTTATTTTAATGCTTTGCCTCAACAAATAAAGGACGCCCCAAATATTAATTTATCCTCTATTTTCGCCACTGTATGCAAAGGTTTATCTAGCCACTGTAGTTTTGTCAATTTCTTTTTGACTTTTTTGACTTATACTAAGTTATAGCTGATGCCATGTGCCCTTTGAAAAAGAAAAAAGAAAATTTAAGAATTTAATTATGTGACAATTTTAATAATGACCTATTATATGTATAGAGTATTTGTCCCTTTGTATGGCTATTTGGCCATTTGTCGTAACACTGTTTTTTGTATGCTGTTTCTTGCATTTTGCATTTTATGACTTTGTAACCTGAATTGTAAGTAATGCAAATTTTTAAAATACATATTTTATATGTTCCTTGCAGTCTTTTTGGACCTGAAGATGGGGTGTAATATTTTTGACCCCGAAACCATGGTAGTCAATGAATAATTGAAAATTTATTCTTTTTTGGAATTGCGAAATAAGACTTTTTGTTCTCCCGTAAAATCCTATAAGAGTTCTTTATTTGTTCCACACTAGAGTTCTAAGACAGCATTTTAGAACTGCTATGCAATTTTTAAGAGATTGCTCTATAACTGTGATTTAAAAATTCTTTTATCTAAACTGCTGGACAAATGAAGCGGAACAAGGGAATTTTTAGTTTAGCCTAGGATTCCACTATAACACGAACTCAAGAGGATATCAATGAGTGGATTGCGTAATTTAGAAGTTAAATTTCGCAAACCGCTCATTGATATCTTTTTTAGTTCGCGCAATATTGGAATTTGAGGTTCAGCTAAAAATTCGCTTGTTCCGTTTCATTTGTCCCGCAGTTTACAAGCGTTTGGTTATGACGTTTTTACACAACCATTTTCCTGGTATTTGAGTTATGTCATGAGAATCGTAACACAACTAGTGGTGTTATGGACTAGGTTATGAATTCATAACATAACTAGTGGTGTTATGGACAAGGTTATGAGTCCATAACACAACTATTTTTGGTGATTTGACAAATGTCAAAGTTGAATCTGTGAAGGTAAAATGAAGGTAGACAACTATTAATAAACGAAAATAAGTGAAAAAAACATTCTTATTTTTCGCTTTGTAGATAAAACGTTGTACATCACACGTAGGTACGTTTAAACATGACTACAAAACTCGTGTGATTAGAACGACTCGGTCTACGACCTCGTCTAATCTTTCACACTCATTATTGCAATCATGTTCATAAACGCACTTGTAATGTAAATAACTATAATATAACTATAAAAATTTCCTGCAGACCTTACACAATATCTCAAAGAGCTGAACAGTTTTCTATAATGGTGCATGTTATCGTATAAGTGTCGTCTCAACGTTTTGAAAATGTTCTTAGCTCATTGCTCTATAAAATTTGCTCTGGGAACGTTCTTACGATTTTTATAGAACATGAAATTGTCAGCTGGGGACTCACATGGAGAACTTGCCTGGTATATTTAGATGATCATGGGAAATTCGTTCCAAGAACATCTCAATAACCTGAAAGAAGTTTTTGACCGCTTCCGGAATGGCAACTTGAAACTCAATACAAATAAGTGTTTTCTATTTCAAAAGAAAGTGGAATTCTTAGGTCACGTGGTATCTGAAGATGGCATACAAGTCATAGAAGGAAAAATAGATGCTGTCAGAGATTGGCCAAAACCACGCGACAAACATGAACTAACGAGTTTTCTAGGATTATGTTCTTATTAATCGAAGATTTGTGGAAGCATTCGCCAATATAGCTGCTCATCGCTTAACGGAAGAGAAATCAACATTCAATTGAACCCAAGAATGCGATTCCGCATTTAGAAAATTAAAAGGAGCATTATGTACAAGCCCAGTGATGTCCTATTCCGATCAGAAGGGCATGTTGATTTTGGACACAGATGTAAGCTACACTAGTATTGGAGCGGTACTTTCACAAATTCAAAATTCACAAGAGCACATCGTAGAGTACTACAGCAGAACCTTATCAAAGCCAGAACGAAATGATTGTGTCACCAGAAGAGAGTTGCTCGCCAGAGCCAGAGCATTCGACCATTTCCATAAGTATCTCTACGGACGTAAATTTCTAATTCGAACGGATCACGCAGCTCTAAAATGGCTTTTAGAAATGAAAACTTCCGAAGGACAACTTGCTAGATGGATTGAGAAGTCGCAGCAATACGATTTCCAAATTAAACATCGACCTGGAAACTTGCATAGAAATGCTGACACTCTGTCTAGACGGCCATGCATAGAAGGCTGCAAGCATCGTCAAAAAATCGACAAGCAGGAGAAAAACACTGGTCTGGCAGTGAGAATACCGGGTCTTATCGTCGATGATAAATGGATTACCAAACAAATGAGACCAGATCAAGAGGCAGACCAGGATATTGGGCAATTTCTACATCTTAAAGAAAATTATGAATGTAGGCCAGAATAGAAGGAAGTGTCGATGAAGAATTTGATTTATAAGGCGTTGTGGGCTCAGTGGAATTCTCTGGCCGTAGAAAATGATTTCCTGAAAACAATTTGGGAATGTGCCGATGGATAATCTACTAAGAGCCAACTGGTTATTCCAAAAGATCGAGTAGATGTATTAAAAGAAATACATGACGGAACTTCACGGGCACATTTTGGAGTTAACAAGACTTTGGACACAATTCGGGAACGTTTTTACTGGGCTCACTATCATGAAGACGTTAAAAACTGGAGCCGAAAATGCGACATCTGTGCTACCAATAAAGGTCCTAAACTAAAATCTCGAGGGCCCATGAAACAGTACAACGTCGGTCTCCCATTTGAAAGAATAGCGATAGATGTAGCCGGACCGTTCCCCGAGTCAGAGCGTGGTAACAAATACATCTTGGTTATCATGGTTTACTTCAGTAAATGGCCAGAAGTTTTCGCTATTGTTAATCAAGAAACCATCACTATTGCTCAGGTGCTAGTGGACGAAGTTTTTAGTCGTCATGGTGTGCCACTAGAGTTACATTCAGATCAGGGACGAAACTTCGAATCTGCCATCTTTAAGAAAACTTGTGAGATCGTGGGCATTCCATTCATAAGACAAGGACAACACCTTTACATCCACAGTCTGATGGCATGGTAGAACGATTTAATAAGACCATAGAGAAACACATGACAAAAGTGGTTGCAAAGAACCATCGAGATTGAGACAAACATTTGCCTCTATTTTTAATGGCTGACAGAGTCAAAGGGGAAAGTTCGGCTAGAATCGTTTTTGGAAAGGAACTCAGGGCTGGAACTGGATAGAGATCGTTATCCCTATCGCTATGGCACTTGTAGTTTTCTTCTCTCTTCTCGAAATCAATAGAGAGGGGACGTCAATAGAGATAGAGAAAAAATCTCTATTCGTTACAGAGTCCCAGCCTTGGTTACCATGGGATCTGATGTTGGGAATACCTGAAGCACAAAAAGAAATTTGAGATTATGTCGATGAAGTAAGGGCACGACTTCTGGTGGGGATACATGATTTTGCTGGCCAGTGACCGAATGAAGACCAGATACGACTTGAAAGCCAATTCAGCCGGATTTCAAAAAGGTGTTCTAGTGTGGCTGTATAATCCAACAAGAAAGAAAAGAGTGTCGCCGAAATTGTCTCCAGCATGGGAAGGACCCTACAGTATAGTCAAGAGGACCAATGATTTGGTTTACAGAGTTCAGCGCAACACCAGGAGTAAAATGAAACTTGTACATATGGACAGATTGACCAAATACCATGGGCGTGAAGTTGATCGGGACGATCAGTCTTAAGAGGAGGGCAGTGTAGCGGTGCGCTTTCGCCATGGTGTACAGAATCTAACTTGAAATCTAGAAAATACTGCTTTATTCAGGCAAAAATATTATCGCATTTATTCTGGATTTTACAAGAATGCATTACAGATAAATTGAGGCCGGTATTAGTTTGTAGTTTTAAGTTTAAGATTGGCTGTGATACGTTTTAGATAGTGATTATTGTTGAGAGTTGTAAAGAGTTAAGTTGTTTCAGTTAATTAGTGAAGTAATTAGTGTCAGAGTGCGTAGTAAGGTGGAATAAACTATTGTTGTGTTAATTGGACTCTGATTTTGGAATAAACGAATCCAAGATTTCTGTTACGCAACACAGAGCCGTAACAGTATTATTGAAATGGGTGACGTTTTGAAATCCTTGAAAGATCCGAAGAATGTCAAATCAGACAGACCAGATGATATTCCATTACATATCGCTCATTTGCTGCAAGAACTTTATAACTCAAAAAATTTATCAGTAATAAAGACATATCAATGAAAATGTATAAAAAAGGGTCGCTAAGTGCTGAAACTTTATTATTTTATTATTCAGTTTAAATTTCTTTTATTAACAGACCTCAATTGATTAGGTCACGCTAATTCGCGATTCGACATTAAGATGGTTATAACATTATTATGTTTTATTCAAGGTTTTATGTAAAAACAAAATTTTCCAATTATGACATTCTTGCAGCAAATGAGCGATATATATATATTTAAAGAACCCCACTATGTTAGTCTGAAGTGTGGGATTCAATTGCACACCAAGAAGAAAGGAAAAGCGAAAGTATTAACTACCTTGACAAAAATAACAGGGTTCATCTAGCCTTGATGATGGGTAATACGGCTCCTGACTAGGGTAATGTTGTAATATTTGTCTGTTGTAACAAAGAATCGTATTACTTTGACGCAATTTAAATAAGATATGGGTTGTGTTATAATTTCTACTTTAATTTTAAACTTCGATAAATTGCATTTCAAAAGTAGTTTTTTCTGAGTCAAAATACAAAGGACAAAATTTTGGTTACTTACCTGGCTCATAAGCGATAGTATACAAAGAATCTGTCGCCTGAACGCTCCACTCATCATAAATAGGCTTAATACCCCAAAGTGAACATAAAATACTCTGGAACGGAAGTTTTGAAATATGGTCATTGGAAATGTGTTTCAACGTTGAAACGTCAACATAAACGCTTTCGCCATAATCAACACAAAGAACTTCAACCTCTTGTTCTTCCAAGCTTAGGAGTAACCCTCGGTTGTAGTCCCCGCTGACTTCGTCTTTTACCAGGTAACATTTGCCAATTTCGATTTTTGATGGTTTAGGATACAAGGGCTTGCAGATTGCCTCTTTAATGGATTCTTCAAGTTCTTGCAGTCTGAAATACAAATTTTTAAAGCATGTATGCTTTGAAATATGTTTATTTTTTTTTTCAATACTCACTGTGAGGTAAATTTGTTATGTCTTACATAAAATTCATGAGGATTTACTGCACTTGTAAATATAACATCTTGTACCTCATTCAAATCCAAAAAAGCCCAGTCCGGCTGTACTTGCGCAGAGACAACTTTTCCAACAGATGGTTTTGCCAATTTATATTCTGGCAGTTCAATTTTAGCGTCCATGCAAAGATCATATAAGCATTGTAGCTGTTTCTTATCTTTAATGGCCATCCCTCCATTTACCAATTCTCTAGTAAGTTGAAATCCTATTGACGGAAAACTTGGATCATGCATTTCTACATATTCGTATACATCGTCGACCCAAAAATTGTTGCCAAGTTGCAGCATTATTGTTCCTGTCATTATGGAGTTTGGACATGTACTGTCGATTAATAACTGTGCTTTTTGTCTGGCAGATCTCGAAAACGTCTTGTCGTCGAAGGGTGGGATTAGGTTGGCAAAATGTATTTCGTAGGCTGAAATTTTATAAAGAAACATGAAAGTATATAAAGATTTCAAAGTATGAAAATCCGATCTTAATTAATAATACATACATTCTGGGGCCTGAAAAACTTCCCACCCAGGTTAAATGATGCATAATAATCAATGACCTATTAACACAGATAGACAGAAAAATAAACAATAATATCGGTTGACTACATGCCAGGAACCGCATCTCTCCCCACTACTTATTAATCCTTGTGTTATTTTGTATCTTTCTCTAACACGTGGAAAGCGATTATTTTTCAATGAAAATTAGCAACGCTGCAAAAAAATAAATCCCACCTCGGATTCTACCTTTCCACCAATCAGCGGCTTCTATTCAATTGTCATGTCAAAATGCGACCTGCAGGTATTTTATGACAATTTCCATTTGTCAATCAGTGCGCAGTGAGTGTATCCGCATCTTTTTCTAAAATTATGTAAAATATAAGGATAAAGATACACTTTTGTAGCACTGATTCTGGTTTCATTTTCAGAGTTGCCAAGTATGCGATAGTAAAATGGGGGCGGAGTTAGCGGAATCATTTGAATCCCTACTTCTAGCCGCTCTCACAGCTCACCCCCCCTGGCCCATAAACATGTAGTCAACCAAAACAAAGCTATTTTATCAATGGGATGTTCCGTCTATCTGTGTTAATAGGTCATTGATAATAATACATTAAAATCATCCAATGACCCACCATGTATAATAATATTTCAAAATTTAACTTAATTTATTAATAATTTCAACCCTCTTTTGTACAGAAAAGGGTTATTTAGTTTCACATGAATGATAAAATTATAGCTCTGTGCCAACCGAGATGAAAACCGTTCTAGAACGGTAATTTCCAGTTGTCCACCTATTTTCAATAAGTTGAACATTTATCCTAATAGACCTATCTATTTTACCAGACAAAGAGGTGATAATACGAAAACTTCATTAAATAAAAAAAGACACAGAACGCTCATTGCGCAAGACGAGGCAAAACGTACCAAATTATGTTAGACTTACGTATAGCAATCCGTCCTTCTTATTTGCACAGGATAAAAAGAAAAGAGGACAAACCGCGTGTTGTGCAACGTATTTGTCAATGAAAATGTCAAACAACTTTTGAATGACACTTGTCAAGTTGAATATCCACTTTAGATTTATTCTTGTCAGACCACGTGCAATGAACAAGGATAAAGAGATGCCTAGCGTGCAAAACGATCACCTCACACCTGTATTAGCCAGCCAATAACAAGACATTGCCTCGTGTTGCGCGCGCATACCAGGTAAAAATAGATAGGTCTATTGACAAATGAATTGATCCGACTGGAAATTCCCGTTCTAGACCAGTTCTCATATCGGTTGGAACAGCCTCTCTAGATGTGACATCCCACTGGGCAAAAAAACATAAAAATCCCCCGAAACCCTGGGATTGAAAATACAGTTTGGTATCGGATCAAAGATATTGTCAACACATAGGTATTTTTGTTCACAATTTCGGGTGTCTGTGATATTTAGGTACCTAATTGTACCTACCCCTTAATATAAAAAGCTTCATAATTACCTTGCGGTGGAATTTTCCTCAACTCTTCTGGCATTTTAAATAATTTACTGATGTTGGTGTGGCTGTAAACACCTTTATCGATAAGAAATACTAAGGCATGATCTTCAACTTCCAGCAGTCTGCAGCGGAAATAGTCGTTTTCGTCTCTGGTCAAGTAAATATGTGATAAATGCCATTTACTAATGGGATGATAGTATTGCATGTTCGCAATAATATCATTGATTTCATCAGTACGATCTTCGTATTTGCACACCCTTCGGCCTTTTAGGTCAAAATGCTGCAGTAGTTTTATGGCACAACTTCCGGCACTTGTCATTGTAATGATTTTGAATCTGATAGTTCCATTTTTATGTAAAATATCAGAATTATCGTCCAATTCTTTATGTAAAACATGACGTTTTTTACAAAATAGCGAGTCACATTTGCCAAATATTTTTAGAATACTGCATAACTCAAGTTTTCGGGAAACACGTGCTTGTTGTTCCTGTTGTGACACACCCTAAAGTTATATGGACTACAATTAGAAACAAATAGTATATAAAAATACAATATGCTTACCTTAAAGAATGTTTTGATTTGTTCTGGCAAATCTTTTTCTATTCCAGAGATTTTCACAAGATTACTGAATTTTGACATTCTTGGCTCACAATTTTCATCAACAAATATGTATGTGCTCAATTCATGCTTATTCTAAAAAAATATACATGATCATACTACTCATTTCAAAAAATCCTTTTTCATTAGCTCTCATACTATTTTCTAATGGAAAAGTATTAGTAGGACAATTTTTACCTCAAATTTGTACCAATCAAACGTGAGGAATAAAGTATTCTCTGCTAACTCTACTAGAATGAAAACATAAGAAAATAAAGACCAACCTGATTATTGTTCAATGGTGATTGAACATTTTCCAAAAGGCAACTGAATCTTTTGATGAACTGCGTCCAGGAGAATGGCAAAGAGTAATGTATCAGTAAATGGGCACTTGTAATGTTAACTGTATTATAGATTTCATCGGTACATACTAAAACTATAAGAAAAATATCAAATTGTGTTTTGTCAACTCAAGCAACTTTTAATTTTACCTGAATAATTGCCAGCTGGAATACTATTCCAAGTATTCTCTACATACAAAATATTCAGTTCATCATCAAGTTGACTAAAAGACATATAGTCTATTCCTTTCAAATTGAAAAAAGTTTGAATATCTTCAACTTCGTCCTTATTACAGATAACAACTGATTTAGTGAATTTATATTTATCATAAAGAACCTTTTGTAAGCTAGATTCCTTATTATTGGAATCTAGAAATTTCATGGAAAATTTGATTTTTCCATATAAGGCTGCCTCTAAATAATTTCCTATACACACTGTAGGAACTTGATTCAGTTTTAACAGTATGTCTTCCATATGGACAGTCCAATGCTGCGCACACATAATCAATTGTATAGATTTTGGACAGTTTCTGTGCATCAAAACTTGATCGGCCAAATTAAGAAATTTTTTAATCAACTCATTATGAGATTTAAGGATTATGTCGGCATCTTCAAATACGAAATGACAAAGTCGCTTGAAGTTTGTTGCTTTTATCATGATCAAATGTAACAATACTGCAGGCATTGTTATGAGAATTTCAACATTACTCTAAAATAATTATTGCAATTGAGTGTTCAATTATACAAAATACTATTAAAACACTTACCATGTTGCCGTATCCAGGATAAGTAACCAAGGTACATTTTGTATTTTGTTTATGAAGAATCAATTTCATTAGGTCGTGGATTTCCTCACATCTTTTGGAGGTGCTACATAATATAACCACAAATGGCCCCCCTCTTAGCTTTAATAGTTTGCTATACCTATCTTTTTGTTCCATTATAAATGACAACAAGATTGGAAGGTAAGCCATTGTCTTGCCAGATTTGGCGTCATTTACCATGATCACATGCTGATTACGAGTAATCGCAGGAAATGCATAATGTTGGATTCTTTTTGATTGTTGATAGTTCAGTTTAGAGACGCTATTGTAAATATCCGCATGGATGTTAATTTTTGAAACTTGTCGAATCGGTACCGGTATAGATTCGCTAGAAAGTATTAAAATAGTAGTTATTCAGGACATTGGAATATTCATTCTCACCCATGAACAAGCACTTTGCTGGAGCGCTTTTTCTCTATTGAAGTCATGCCAGCATAATTTATGGATAAAATTTTATTTTGAGAAACATCCTGACCTTTAGTCGCAGATTCTGACTTCAGCAATGTTGGTGGCTTAATAATGAGTTCTGAAAAACAATAACGTTGCAAAACAAGTTTTACAAATAAGAAATTCACGAGTAGAGGAATGGTTTAAAGTCTGTCAAAATGATTTTACCTTTTGATTTTGAAGGTTTCTTGACCTCCTCCTCTGGAAGTTCAAATTTAATTGGAGTCTCCCAATCGTCCTCCTCGAAAGCAACTCGGCACGCGCTGCAAGGGCATGAGCCTACTAGTTTACAAAAGTCTTGCTTGGTGAAAATTTCCTGTTTTACTGAATCTGAAGAAGACGTCTCTTCCGTTTCTTTAGGTTTGCCTTTGGTTTCATCATCGGTCAAGCTGTCAGGAGCTTCGGGAATCTATATTGGAACAATACACTAATATTGTGCAGGGTGACTCAGAGAAAAATTCAGTCTTTAAGCCTACTTAGATAAAAACGATAAACGTTATAGAAATAGGGGAAGAGGATGCTGCAAGTAGCTGAATATGGTTGGGAGAACAAAGTGCGTTTATGAATTTCAAATATCTTAATCGAATTTGATAGATGGCATTGACAAACTTAGTAAAATTAGGCAATTCAATCCATCTGTCAGATAGGGAAATTCAATATGGCGTGGCGGCCAAGCAAGTTTGTTTTGAATGTGTTTTTATGCGTATTTCAAATTATTTTGCTTAGAGTTTTGCTTGCAACTTTGATTTGGACTATTTAATAAAATATTTGTTGATTAGGTACCTAAACTAATAAATCGAGCAGATTCTGGATATTTTTTTCTGTTTTTTGGCCCATGTGTGGCCGCCACGCCATCTTGAAAGTCACGTGGTTTGAATTGCCTAATTATAGGGTTTCCGAGAAATAAGTTCAGTAGTGAAGTGTCGAAAGACCATATGAAAATTGGAAAGATACTTAGACCTCTCACAACAACATTGAACACAGCTTATGCAATTTTAAGTCTCTTGGAGCAAAAAGATTTGCATATACTTTTTCAATGAATGATGGACGCTAAAAATTCACTAATATACATAAGAGCTTATTTTGGAAAAACAATGTTGTCTTGGATTCTGATACGCCATATCTGTACCTATAGAATATTTTTCTCAGATGCCTATGTAATAATTTATATAAGAATCCGCTGCCCAAGGGTATGAAATGTATATAGATAAGTATGATGTACCCATGTGTTAATTAAATTTAAGATATTTATACAGAATTACTCCTATTTGTTCATAGATTTTATTTATTGAGCGACAGTGTTTAACAAGTCCAATATCTTGTCAACAACTCTTAAATGGATAAATTAATAAAAAGAGAACCCATTCACACATTCATATAATTGGAATATTTACCCCTTATAGAAACCCTTGCCCTTTTTCCACTGTTATATTATTTACCTTTATTGTAGGACAGTCTCCATCTCTAGTAGTTACAACTTCAGGGATCTTGTTTGGTGTACTTTTCCCCACTTTCCGAATAGTTTTGCGCTTGCAGGCATCCTTTTTCGGTAGAGAAATAGTTCTTTCAGCGGCAAATAATGGCAATTTTGGTCTGTTTAACTTCTTGGACGTTATTGAGGAAAATGGTGAGACGGCGGAATCTGAAAATTGTACCATCACATTTGAGACCCCCGCCCTATACAAGCAAAATAGGAATGTATATATTCACCTGAATCAATACTGCTGTTAATCAAGCTACAAGATTGTTCACCCATGTGTTCATTGCCTGAAAATTCAAATACATAATGATAATAATTAGGGAATATTTCATTTTTGAAGCCTGATGTTACGTTTTAATTATGTGTAGGAACCTTTTTTTGTCTAGCCTAGCCATCTATTCTTGAAAAATAATACATATATATTTTCAAAATAGATGGCCCAGCTGGGTTCCAGGTTTGCAAAAACTTGATCTATTTGTTGTATGCACCCAACATTAAACAATTGAAATTACCAATTTTTTCAAAATGAAAATTATCCATCAATGTTGGTGCCAACATTTATAAACCTATAGACAACATTCTGATTAAAAGTGTTCATACCATAACTTGATCCTATAACTAGTTTTAGAGATACGGGTAGTTTGATGTCCAAGAAATGCACACATTTTATATGCATTTACATCTACCTGTCACCTGAGCGTGGGGATTCCTGTCACCTGAGCGTGGGGATACCTGTCACCTGAGCGTGGGGATACCTGTCAATCCTGGTATAATATTATAGTCTGGGAGACGACCGTATTTTTCCTACCCCGATCGAGTTATGTGTCGACACTATTATCAATATATAGTATTATGTGCATCTATTAACCTGTATTCCTGCCTGAGAGCAAATGCTGCCGGAAAAATATCTTTTAACAAATTATTAACAAATTTAAAAAAACGTAATACTACCCCCATCGAGTTATGCCCTAAGTAGGGTATCAGATTGAAGGTCTCGATGTTCCCTATCTAAAAAGTCGATCCTCACTCGTGAGAACTTGCCGGAAAAAGGAGGCAGGACAGCTTATCGGGGCAAGGGCCCGCGGTCTCTGCTTTGACACCTATCAAGCTTTGCACTAAATGATGTGTCAAATTAAAGGTGTCAATAAGTTGATTTAAGGTCTGTTCGCAGAGAAATCACAAACCAGTTAGAGCGAATTTCATTGGTTGGAAACAGTCAGTAAACTAGTTTCAAACAATGAAATTCACTCCTTCTGGTTTGGGATTTCTGTGCGAAGAGACCTTAAATCAACTTATTGACACCTTTAATTTGACACATCATTCAGCGCAAAACTTGATAGGTGTCAAAGCTGAAACCGCAGGCCCTTGCTCCAATAAGCTGCCCTGCCACCCTTTTCCGGCAAGTTCTCACGAGACAGGATCAACTTTTTAGATAGGGGACATCGAGACCTTCAATCTGATACCCTACTTAGGGCATAACTCGATGGGGGTAGTGTTACGTTTTTTTCAATTTGTTAATAATTTGTTAAAAGATATTTCCGGCAGCATTTGCTCTCAGGCAGGAATACAGGTTAATAGATGCACATAATACTATATATTGATAATAGTGTCGACACATAACTCGATCGGGGTAGGAAAAATACGGTCGTCTCCCTAACTATTAGGTGACATGCATATAATCAGGCCTATGATGTATCATTTTCTGTTATTTTAACAGCAACGTTAAGTTATTTGTCACTGTTTATTCTACACGTAAAACTAGAGACAGGTATAGATTTTGAGGTATAACACAACTGTTAAAATAACAGGAGAGGATACATCATAGGCCTGATTATATGCATTTACATTTACCTGTCACCTAATAGCTGTCAATCCTGGTAAATTAATACCAGGATTGATAGGTATCCCCACGCTCAGGTGACAGGTAGATGTAAATGCATATAAAATGTGTGCATTCCTTGCACATTGAACTACCTGTATCTCGAAAACTAGTCATAGGATCAAGTTGTGGCTATAAACACTTTTAATCAGAATGTTGATAGGAGCATCATATCAAATTTTCAGAAAAATTGACCGAATCCCAAAATCCCATAGGAAGTGTCAGGGGTCCTTTCCAGCCCAAGGTTTTTAGCAAAATTTCCAAAACACTACCCAAACTCAGGGACCATCGTTGTCATTTCCCAGCTAGCCTATTAACATTCAACCTAGGCAAGTTCAACAAAACTTCCCTACCAATAGGCAAGTTTTCGGAAAACCGAAAGACGTTTTTCTAAGGAAAATTCAAATAAATCTACTGGCAACCCAACACCGATGTGCAGCAGAATCCCCTCGTTGCAAGCAAGATATTCTCGAAGGCCAACTATGCGCCAAAATTTCAACAACTTCCAACGCAATCCCTTCACTCTCGCAGAGTTAACCCATTTGCAAGAAGGCGCTTCTGCGTATCCTCCCGAACGAAACATCAGGAGATTACTACGTCGAAAATCAATCCCAATTTGAGCCTGAAAACAATGAATATTATAATGCTAAAGAAATCAATAATCCCCAGTCCGAGCCGATAAACAACATGAATTTTGAAGAAGATCCCTCAGAAACCAGTCCGACCTAAACCTAAGTAGTTTTCAAGCCAATTCTCTCTCATATATAGAAATTAAAAATCCACCAGCTAAGCTTCTTATTGATACAGGCAGCCACACTTCTCTAATAAGACCAATTATTGCCGGACAAAATTTTCCACATTTGTGTGTATAATTCAAAACACACCCTAATTACATGCAATGGACACACACACACATCCAGTAAAAAGCAAAAATTTCCTTGATATAGAATCAACAGAAATTCCTTTAGTTCATCGTGACGATTTCAGTATACAGAAAATTGAAATTCCACCGTTGACTATTGTTATAAAGTAGGTACATTAACACCAATATTTCTGAGGAAACAGTACAGTTCCACTAAAAATTCGAAACCTGGAGTAATGAAAGTATTATAATACATTTTAACTCGAATTCCATCGGAGAAAAAGCGGAAACTTTTAATTCGGAAGTCTTTGAACTTTTCAATATAGAGCAAATTCATGCGAAACCATCTGCACCTAGTGATTCCGAAAATTGTGATGTTTCTCTAATTAGATCAGGTCACCTAAATTCAGAAGAATAATTATTAGAATTTAAAAAATTGATATTGCAATTCAGCGACATCCTCTAGAAGCCCACCAAGTACGAAATAGTACAACCACGAAGTCAAAACGGAAGTTGAAATTCCAATCCACACAAATTCATACAGATACCCAAAGTCCAAAAACAAATCACACAAATGTTGGATGACGGAATTATTATGTATACGCCCATCTTCTAGCCCTTGGTCTTCTCCTGTGTGGATCGGTCCAAAGAAGCAAGACGCCTTGGGAAAACAAAAATGGAAAACGATTGGTTATCCAATTCCCAACATCTCCGACATACTAGACAAACTTGGCAGAAGTCAATATTTCACAACCCTCGATTTGGCTTCAGGGATCTATCAGATCGAAATGGATCTAAATTCTATCCCAAAGACAGCCTTCAATGTCGAAAATGGACATTTCGAGTATATCAGAGACAAAACCTTAAAATTCAACTCGATAAATTCGAATTTCTTCAAAAAACGGTTGAATTTCTAGGTCACGATATAACTCCGCAAGGCAATCCCTAAAAAACCCAAAGAAATCAAGTCTTTCTAAAGCCTAGTTCTCATGGTGCGGGATTCCGCATTGCGGGTCCGGAAATCGCAGTTTTTTGAAAATCGTAATTTTTGATGGTTCACATGAAACGGAATTCCGGATGCGGTTTTATGTCAAATACATGTGATCTTAACCTAACATATTTTTTGTTTTTGTTTTCCTGTGTGCCTGGATGGATAATTATATTGCACAATTAAATTATTATCAATGGAAAAGACAGAGGGAGGTATGAAAAAAAACAAAGTATCTGCTACTACGACAAGTAGTATAGTATATTCTTCGTAGTGTTTACTTTAAAATGAAGTAGATTCTACATTTCGAAACTACCGGAAATTAGTAAATCCTTTGTTGTGAAGTAAATACTTCGTAGAATATACTACTACCTGTAGTAGTAGCAAGTACTTCGTTTTTATTCAGACTACCACCCAATATACGTTAGTATTGGGTTTGCTATTAATCCATAATATGCATGAAACTTCATCAAAGAAGCAGAATAGCAGAGGAATATTAAAAAAAGGAAGATGTTCAGAAATATTCTTCTGAAAAGGCATGAAAAAGGGGTTTGCCGTAATAATATGTATTTGAAAATAAAACAAGCACACAAGCAAGCAGATCAATTTATTTTTGTTAGGTATTAATTGTTTTATTGTTTTTTGTTTGAGGTTAGTTTATTTGTTTATGTAGAAATCAAACAAAGATGAGAAATGTTTAGACAAAGACAGAAAAAAAATCGCAAGAAAGTTGAAAATGGTTCAACTTTATTGCGGATCCGCAAAAAAGTTGACGTTTTCCCGCCAACGGAATTATTTCAAAAATTCCGCACCCGCAATCCGGAATTCCGCATCATGAGAACTAGGCTTTAGGTCTTGTAGGTTATTATAGGAAATTCATCAAAGATTTCGCAAAGTTGACAAAACCTCTCAGTAATTCTCTTAAGAAGAATAGTAGAGTGTAGCATACTTTAGAGTTCTCTCAAAGTTTCGAAACTTGCAAAAACATTCGACACAATTCTTCAACATCCCGATTTTTCAAAACAATTTAATCTGACAACAGACGCATCAGACTTTGCTATGGGAACTGTTTTGTCCCAAGGTCCAATTGGTAAATATTTACCCATGGCCATAGCATATGCCTCTCGAACTCTTAATCCAGCTGAGTTGAATTACAGCACTATAGAGAAAGAATTATTGGCTATTGTGTGGGCCACCAAATATTTTAACCGATTTAAAATTATAACTGACCATAAACCTCTTCAATTGTTATTTTCGGTCAAAGAACCAGGCTTCAAACTGGTTGGATAGCGCCTGAATTTGGAAGCATACGACTACGAAATTATTTAAAAAAAAATCAAGCAGAACACTTATGCAGACTCCCTTTCACGAATTCAGATAAATCTAATAGAAGACGATCAACTATCAATGATTTCGCAAACTGACCCTAATGAAGTCCCTCAATTATCTTGCGACGAACTCGACGAAATTCTCAACTCACTTCCACCAGAAAATCCCCCAAAAGAAAAATCCAAAATTAAGATTGTTTCTCAAAAAATCATGAGAACAGCAAGCAAACAAAAACCCAAGATAATCGAAGAACCTGATCTAGAAACCCGACACTCCAGTGCTGAAGACCCAGTAATTGGTGCCCCTTACGTACAGAAAGCTCTGAATTTATACAAAAACCAAATAGTTTTTCGATATTCCAACAATAATCAGATTAAAGTGCAGAAACAGCAAACATGCGACAAACAAAGAACTTATATCTTCTAGAATAATAATCCTTCGGAAAAAGACATCTGCAAGAACATCAAGGAATTCTTTGTTCCGAAAAATACCTATTGTTTACAATTTATCCAAGATCACTCTGATAATTTCAGAATAATCAGTCAAGAATTCCACGAAAAACTAACGACCCAACAGAAATCACAATTAAAGAAAGTAAACAAAAATAGGCAAGAGAACATCGAAATCGATCTTGATAAACCGTTATACACCAAAACATTCACCAAACGATTAAAAATAAGGGAAACAAACAAATATAAGGAAATTCATAAACCAATCAGTAAGAAAGAAAACACCGTTTCCTCACAAAATCAAAATATTTATGAAAACCTATTAAATTCACAACACATTATTGTTTCAGATGGAACTCTACCTTCTACTTGTAATAATACCCCTGGGAACTCCTGCCTACATTACCACAACTCAACATACATCCCTTTATCATATCAATATAACAATTATCGAGGACTGCCTGAAAAATCTTGAAAATATCTTAGAAAGATCAAACAAAACAATAATTCAAGTTGACACAACAGAAATTCAAACAAACATACGATTTTTTACAACCACTTCTAACCAACACGAAGTTAATATCATAAATCCAACAGAACCAAGCGAGGATTGATTAATGCTGTAGGAAAAGTCAATAAATGGCTTTTCGGTACTCTCGACTTAGACGACGAAGAAAAATTCAAGAAATACTTTGACAATCTACTTCGAAACCACGAAGAACTAAAAAATGAACATACTGTAGACTCGCGTAATAAGCTCGTATACTGAACATCTACGAAGGCTTAACAACAATCAAAAACTTATAGCAAGTAGATTAAATTTATTAGAAAACATCCAACTAGATAGCGCTCTATATTTATCTTTACTACTAGATAACGTAATGTTCCAAATACCTATCAACCAAAATGGTAGAATACTTTTTTCTATACACACTCCAATTGTTTTGCCTATCAAATCCACCCTATACAAATTACACCCTATTCTTATCCTCAATCAAACAATAACCATATCCAATCCGTTCACCTTGCTCACAAAAGAAGAGTTTTGGACCACTGCAGAAGAATGTCCGCAGCTTGAAGAATCCTCAATCTGCCCAATAGCCTTTCTCTCTAAAGAAGAACCCTGCGTCTTCAAATTATTAACCACAACGATAAACGGATGCCCTTCAACCCACATAAACTACCGAAGGACTTCTATCCAACGTCTCAATGAAATACTAGTCATTCCTTACAACCAGACCATCATTCGTAGCAAGTGCCAAAAAGGATTATACAATGTCAAAAAACCCAGTATAAATAGTTACCATACCTACATGCTCTATCGAAATCAACAACCAAGTATATGAAAAGGAGAAAGAAACTGAATTACAATTCATCTTGGATATAGCAAAATTCTCGTATGTAGAAAGAGAAGAAGCCCTAAAACTACAGCTCGAAGAGCTCAATAAAGCTCAAAAGATGCTCTCCGCCATCCAATTTCATACTCTCCATGCTCCTGGCATAGCAATAAACCATTGGGCGATTCCATTGACGATCCTTATATCTATCGCAATTGGTGTACGTTACAAAGACGAATAATGGCCCAGACGCAAATCCAACACTAACCAAGGCCAAGGGTTGATCAATCAAAAAACAACTCAGCCCAAGTTTTCCAAACTTCAGTAGAGAGGAGATATATAACTCATATTTCAGCTACCAGTTCAATGCACCCAGAGTGGCGAGGTTCATCACCTTATATGATCAAAACTATTTTGTCTAATATGCATTTTTATTGTATTTAAGTAAATCGATTAAACTCAATCTTTTATTTTGCAGTTAATATTCAAACCTAATTTTTGTAGTTACTTAGTTAAAGTCAAAATTATTGTTAAAGTGTATTTTTCGAGATAAAATTATTTTTTAAAAACTAATTCCTAAGAAGAAATCCTTTAACTCTCGTCCTTTTACAATTTTATCAAAAAACCTGATGAAGTAAGTAGTAAATACTTAACGATTCTCTTTTAGGGATAATTCCCACTTTTTTCAATTTTCCCGTTTAACAAATCTACAGGATTTTTCTTATTTTCAGGATGCACTGATGGTGGAGGTTAAAAGCGCTTTGCACTAATTTTAATTAAAAAAAAAAAAATTGCAAGAAATACAAAACTCTCTGTGTTCAATTGAATTTTGTAAAAGGCATTATGCATCAAAAGCTTCTTCATTCTCAACTTAAGCTGCCTCACATACCTTGCCATGTTAATGGCAAACAAGATACTAATTAGTTACTCGATCAGTTAGTTAGGATTACAACATTATATGTTTATTCATTACAAACTCTACTATACGTACTATACTATAAGATATTTTATTTTATTCCCAAACCCCCAAAATAAGGCACCCTCAATGATAAGGAATGTGATTTTGGATTTGATCATTAGATCAGTGGTACGCCCCAACAAGTTCCCTAATACATCTATCTGTGAGCTGTCATATTATTATTTAACATCACATTTAAGACAGTTTATTCAAGGAGTTAAAATTGCCAGAAAAATTGATTGCAAAGGTTCAAAATAGGAAGAATATAAAATAGATCTGATGTTATGTATTTACCTGATTCTGTGCTTCTGTTAACCAAACTAGGTAGTTTTTCTTTTTTGAGCTGAGTCCCTAAAAATTTAGATAATTAGCAAAAAACTAGACAAAAATAAACAAATAATTTACCAAGTTCCATAGTATCATCAACGACATCAACCCTAGAAGGCTGTTCTAGAGAATTCTTTCCTGTAAAATCACATCACATGTTTCAATTAAAATGAGTCGAGATTCAAAATTGAAAAATTACCTTCTAATTCAGAGCTGCTCACACTAACCGAATCGCAGCTAGAAGTGTCACCTGTAATCGAAACCGCAGGTTGTTCCTCCACGGAATTATTTGCTGTAAAATGGAACATTTTTCAACTTAAATGAATAGATATTTAAAGCTAAAAACTCACTTCCTGATTGGGAGCTGCTCACACTAATGGAATCGAAAGTAGAAGAGTTGCCTGTAATTAAAACATTCAATTCAATTACCTTCAGTTTATAATACTTATTAAACCGTGATCTTACGTATAATTTGAAATAAAAATGGGTCTTATTTAAACACAGATAATTTTGAAAAATCCACCTTTTTATTCCATAGGCCAAATGAACACGTTCCAAATTTTCAAAAAATTCACCATTAAAAAAAACTCAATAAACATATGATTTAACAAAAAATAAATTCTAAATAAATAATCAGTCAATTCTAATTAATACATTAAACAAAATAAGAACTCAAAGTATTTAAAATGAACACATGGTTTTTAGTTTTTTTTACCTTCTCCATATCTTTTAGCTGCAGCTTTTATTTCTTTGAGTTTTTGAACAATACTTTGAGAATTACTCAGAGGCTTAGGTTTATCTAATGCCGTTTGACGGCTTTCATCAATATGGTGACAAGATGGCTTCATTGTATTTGATTTCGGATTTGGAGTATTTGTATCCGAGTCAGAGGTAACTGATGGCGATTTTTGTTTTAATAGTCTATGGCGTCTTCCGTTTTCTGTGCGAAACTGAAAATTTGACAAACAAGTTTCAAAAGCTGTTTTATATAAAGCGATATTGCATTTAAACTTACGGAGTCGGTGATATCTGGATCTTCTATAACATTCTCTAAAGTTACATAAGCACTAGGTGAAGCACTCGACGACGCACTCGCCTTAACCGTCCTCTTATACACAGACGAACATTGGTATAGTAATGTCAAATGGGTTTTTAAATATTTTTGAGAGCCAACAAGTAGATCTAAAATTGGAGTTAGTCAGTAATTAAATCATTAACGAGGAAGATAATCTTACTAGAAAATAATTTCTTGTCGTTTTTTGAAATAATTCCTTTTTTAATCAGCTCCTGTTCCAAATACAACACTTCACCATTTTTGTGAATAATCACTTCACCAGTTACAATATCTCCATGTTGACCCTTCTCTTCAAAAAGAATTTTTTCATGGTTTGATAGAAGCTCCAACACCATTCGTGTAACATTCTGAGGTGGTACCACTGTCGGTTTGGATACTATCTTGCCAAGTACTCCTAGTTCTAAATGCTGAAAAATTGACATAAATTAATAAAAGCCAAGTCAGTTGGGTAGGTACTTACAGTGTCAAGATAACAAAAATTATCCAAGCTAGCCTGTTTGCATATGGGAGTGATTTTTTGGAGATCTGGCCGTAATTTAAATAATTGTTTAGTCTCGATTACTATCCCACAATCAATTAACCAACAATGATAAGAATTGGAATGGTCCGTCTCATTTCTTTCTGTGCCCAAGACAGTGGCTCTTACGAGAGTGGATTCATAATAAACTGCCACAATCTGAAAATTGATAAAAACCTGTTTTTAATACAATGATTACAGTGGAAAGTAAAAGCTTTTTATGGTTTTTTTTAAAATACATTTGAAACACAATAAATTAAGGTAGCTACACATGTAAATTGCAAACTTGATAAGCATGCATGATCAATGTATTTTCTTACAAGCAGGCGTGAGCGCGGTGAATATATCCTTGCTTATTTTGACTGGCAGCGTCCTTCAAGTTTACATGGGTTTTCACAAATTCTTCTTTGGAATTGGTGCAAATTATAACATTGAAAAGTTTTCTAAATTCAAATTGAAATGATAAATAAAGAATTCCTAGCCAGTCTTGTCACATCGCGGGGTTCATAAACTAGTAAAGTTTTGAGAAAAACAAACCCATAAAAATATCAAGTAAGGCTGAAGTAATTTAACTGAAGGGGCCAAGTGACAGATTTCATATAAAAAACATTATTTATGGCCGACACGAGTTCGGCATCCTTTGATTTATTTGATCTCACATTTTAACCATTTATCTGCTGACCGGGATAATCAAGAATTACATCTTCAGTCGAACAAATAATCACTTTTCTTAGAAAAAACGGAATGGAAGTTATGAGGTTAATCCACTCTATGAATGAAAAGAAGCATTTGCTTTTTCTCGCAAAATCTAAAGGAAATGCTTCATACAGTATGAATGAAAGTTCAAGCAAAACCTCTTACTTGAAAGTCGGAGGCAAATACTCTTTTTTTTATGAATAAAAGAGAGTATTTGCTCCAAATTGGAAGCATTTACTCCTTGCAACATAAACATGCATCTGCTCTGGAGCAGATGTTTTGAAAAGAGTAAATGCGTCTGCTCTAGAGCAGATGTATGTTTATGTTTACGATTACTATTTTGGTAAAATTATTCCCAAATATTCTTATTTATAGGATTCCGACTGGGACTATGGAAAAAAGTGTTGTTGTGTGAATAAATCAATAGTAGATTACTTCGCAGCAGCATTTCCGGGAATTGGTAGGCCGATGCTATTCAACTTGTTATTCGAGAAAGCATTCAAAATCAATGCCATCAAAATTCAAAATAACAATTTTCAAAATAAACCAAAATCACAACAAATGCCGAACATCACTGATTTATTGGAGAAATTGGACAGCTGCCAATATTTCAGTACATTTTACCTTACTTCAGGCTTCCACTAAATAGAAACAAACGAATCGGACAACAAGTTTTTAATACAGAGAACGGACATTACGAATACCTTATAATTTATTTTAGATTCCAATTTCAAGATTCAGCGAAGTCACATATTGGGACGCCAGACGATGTGAAACCAAACCCCGTCAAGATGTATGCTATAAAACAAGACCCGATTCCAAGAACTGCAAAGCAAATTGAAGGATTTTTACGAATTTCAGGTTACTGCCAGATGTTTATAAATAACTTTGTTGAAATTAAAAAAACCTTTAGCTACATAAAGACGAAATTCCAGGGAAAGTAACTAGTAAAAAAAGACCCTGACCATATGTCAATGATAGTGCACGTTGGTACAGAATTACCAGACATCGCCCCAAGAGGCAGATGATGACGAACCATTTTGCCAAGGAGTATCATCGAAAATAATTTTAAACGGCACTCATTACAATTCAAAAGATGCGTTACTAAACTTCTTGCTGTGACTAAGAAAAATTACCTATATAAAATACAGGGTGTATCAGGTTTGACTACAAAAATTTTAACACATGAAAATATGGCCCATTTTGAACAAAAAAAGTTGATACAATATGGGGTCCAAACTCAACCATTTTCAAGAAAAAGGCCTTCAAAGTTTTAACATTTTTTCACGAATATTTTAAAGTTAAAGAAAATTTTAATCATTATGAGATGTAGAAAAATTTAGTCTATCCAATTATTAAGTAATTATGCATTTTTAGTCAACAACAATAACAAAAAATTGGAAAAACAACATACAAATTTCACTTGTAAAAGGGTATCTAAATATCTGGCAACACAGCACAATAAAGAAAAGGTTGAGTCTTGATGGAGCTGAATAAATTGATTCTTGATTTGTCTTTTCTAGTTGGGAAACGCGCGTAATTCAAATTCACTCTTTTTTGAAAATAAAATGTTTAGAAACATCGGATATGCAGATACTTGTTTAGGCAGAATCTTTCTAAAATGCTCATTCAGCCACCAGAATTCACAGGGAAACTAGGGAAAGATTTCCCAAAAGAAGAGCACTCACCTGATGGAAGAACATTGTGCACGTGTTACAAAGATTGCGTAATACAAGTGTGAGTTGTGACCGTGCAGATACAAACGAAACTCAGTAAAACCAACCAACCATCATAGACAGTTTTTCGAAATATACACAAGCATATCCGTTAAAGTCACTAGCAGGCATTGAAATTGATATAGCAGACAACCTTGTAAATAATCATTTTTCACACCGCAGTATTCCAAGTAATTGTCGACAATAGCACATAATTTAAAAAGACCGTGATAACTGAACTTCTGTCTTTAGATAAAATAAAAATTCATTTTTGTTCCCCATACCATCCTGAATCAAATAGAATAGTAGAAAGATTTCATTTGACCTTCACAGAACAAATTAGATTATTAAATAATCAAGACACATTGTAAACACCCAACAACAAAAATGTGTGATTTTACAGGTTTTCAGCGATTTAATAACAAAAAATGGAAATGGTAAAATACCTACTAGATGTATTAGTCTCAAATGTAAGTTGTAAAGTATAGAAGTCAGAGGAACCTCTTGTAAAGGTTGATGAACATCATAATCCACTTCTGGTCGTAGCAGACCTGCAGATAATACAAAACAAAATCAAACTTGGCAATAATGCACAATATAATTTCAAAAAAGCAAATCTCCCAATGATGTATCAACTTTTGCTGGAGGTGGATTGGAATATTCTTTATCAGTGCTGTAAAGCAGATGAGGCTATATCTTTTTTATATGGTAGGATTTATGAAATATTTGATATGACTGTTCCTAAGACAATTTTTAGGGTCAATAAATATCCACCATGGTTCAACAGCGAGATAATCTGTGATATTAAAGCCAAAAATAGAAATAGGCCGCTACTTTTGAAAACGGGTATTATAAATTATTGTCAGACTGATTATAATAATATAAGAGATGCTCTGAAAGTAAAGACTGAACAGGCGAAGCAAGTTTACATTAACGAGTTGGAGGGAAGTATAATAGGGAACAATTCAAACTTTTTCAAATTTATCAATAGCAAAAGAAACTGCTCACATATAACAGGCAACATGGTGTACAACGGCAACCCTGTCAAAAACACAAATATTGCTGAAACGATTGCTATTTTTTTTGAATAGTGTATATGCACCAGCTGACAGCGATGAGAGCATTGAAACACTCTGTATGACTCACTTGTTAGACTCCGGATTTAGAGTAAGTGAAGTACCTAAGTCATGAATGCTTTAAATAATTTAAAACCAAAACAAACTATGGGACTAGATAACGTTCCAGCTTTTGTAGTAAAAGACTGCAAGTTTATTTTCGCGCCAATACTCACTACAATATTTAACTTATGCATGAAAGAAGGAAAATATCCTGAAATTTGGAAGTTAAGCAAGGTCTGTCCTCGGGTCTGTCCAGTCTTTAAAAAGGGCAATAAGTGTGATATAGAGAATTATAGAGCAATAAGTATATTGCCCAACTTTTCAAAAGCGTTTGAATCAGTGTTGTACACTCGTATTCTTTGATATTGTTACATCATTGACCTTGATCCTCTTTGAAACGAAGTAAATAAACTTCAAGTGAAATTGAAGAGCTTAACTGATAATGTAGACACTCACTCAGGATATAAAGTTGAAACCAGAAACCACATCAAAATATTATCGTTATCACACCCACAACGAAGAAAACGCGGACTCATCAACACTGTCAGCAATTTTCAAGACCATAACGGGCAACTCACACGCTTCTGATGGGAACGCTATGGACAGTTGATGAAAAATCATCAAAATAACCCTTGAAATTAGGATCAAATATTATGAGAAAAAAATTTAAAAATTAAAATTTACTAGAATCAAAGTTGAATCAGATCAGTGTAGTTGTATCAAACGGTACTTATAGAGAAAATGCTAACTTTATTTAAGACACACTGAATCAAATGATAAATCTACATGAAATTATTGATTCGATTTTACAAGATTTAGAAAATGGTACCTATTACTTTTATTACTGAAAATACCACATGCTAGTATTAAAAAAACTCAAAATCTCTATTCTGAACTGCAAAAGTGAACGCAAAAAGCATACCTCTAAAGGTTACGTAACACACTACTTTATGAAAAATTGACTAAAATAGAAAGTTTTATTTATTAACCTTTTTAAGGTTTAAAGTCAGACCTATAGTTTATTACAGCAACGCGAGATGTCAATGCTGTCGCCTCTATAGTATGCCCTAACAAAAAAAAATAGAAATCTTCATTGTGTTAAATTGTGTGATGGAACGTTTTTTCTTTTTTTGGCGGAAATTCGAAGTATTATTCTGTTTTACATAAACAGGGTTGTAGTTTCGACCAACGCAAATAATTTTGAACGTTCTTCCGTCCGATTTTTTTCTAAACAGTGTAGCTACGGGCGTATTTCCAACTATTTTTGTAGTAGCGAGAAAAGAGTTCAAAAAATTTGAAAAAAATATATGTCGCGTAGAATTGCAATAGTAGTTCGTAATAAAAATAATGGGAAACTTCATCTATTCGTTTTGAAATAAATGGTGAAAAACTACATGGGACATGGGAGTTAAGGACAAACATTATTATACAGGGTGTCTCAAAAATTATATTTTAAACCAAACTACTCTCTAAAGAGTCTAAAGAAAGCCAATAACCAAAAGAACTGCTACAAAACTATAATAACCTAAAATATCAATAATAACTAGAAACATTGTGACAATGATCACCAGAGACTATTTGAAGTAGCTGCTGTTCCTCGGAAACGATTTGGATTTAATACTGTAGAAAT